AAGGTTCAATTTTTGTCTCCTTTTAAAGAGGGAGGTGCTTTTGTAGGCACTCTTAGCTTGGGGAGGCAGCCAAGGAAGGATGCTGGGGTTAGCCATCGTTTTCTCCTTAGCAGCTCTCTTCAATTCCACTTTGTCATCCTTATAAAGTTTCCATTTCTCTCTGTCGAGGGCTGCACAGAGGAAGTATGGCTGCATAATCTAGTTGTAACCACACCATGCATGTGCTGGCGCACGTGCAGCCAGGGGTCCAGGTGTTAACTTTGCAGGTTGCTTGGCTAGGTGTGGTTTTGCCTATTTATGGCACAAGCAAGCTCAAATTGCCTTTAGATCAATGTTTTTTTGTTAAAATCGGTCAATAATTTTGGAAAATATTATCAATCCAAGTGCAATCGTGCTTCCCTTATCTCTTTGGGTCGAAAAATTAGTTTTTGGATGAAAAATGGGTTCAGGGGTATTTTGGTCATTTTGCAAAAAGTTTGTTTTTGGGCCAAAATAGGGTATGACATCAACTTTAAGCAATTTTCAACTTTTTAAGGATGGAGGTATTACCATTTCATCAACAGAATGCCTACAAGCGCCCAAAGTCTTAGGGTCAGTCAAAATGGGGTGTCCACAGTTGCCCCTATTTGACATAGCTCAAACTATCATAAAGTGAAGAGAAGCAAATGTCAAAGATCTAAGACTATCTTAGTTGACAAGACCCTAAGGCTTAAGGTGGTGCCAAACAAGCATGCAAGTGATAGGACCCGTAGGTTGCCTACATATCCTTGTTTGCAAGGAATCAAACTAGTGTAGTTCGGGGGTTATTGTGCAACATTCCATATGTAAGTGAGTGTGTGCAACAAGCACTAAACATTCATTTCAAGTATGCAAGCTTTCTAAATAGAGGAGAGCAAGCAATATTTGCCATACTCACCTTGTCATGCCAACACCTTACTTTCCATTTCATTCCAAATTTTGCCAAATGTGCCAGTCCTACAAAATTTTCAAGGAAAACCAATCCAAGAAATAATATACCGTAGTGTGGTTCGCATGATGCCAATTATGTATGCCAATGTATGCCATTCTATTCCTTTCCAAGTTTTATGTCATTCATTTTTATTCCATTATGTCCCATCCTTGTGTCTTACAAGGTAGGGTTTCTCAGATTCTGGTCCTTTCCGTTCCATTCTTGTTGCTTACGAGGTGAGGGTTTGTTAATTTCCTGAGCTATTTAGTTCCATCCTCGCTCCTTACAAGTTGGGTGTTTATTAATTCCCAAGCCATTCAGTTTTGCCCTCACGTCTTATGAGGTAGGGGTGTATTAATTGCTTGAGCCATTCCATTCCATCGTAGCGCCTTATGAGGTAGGGGTTTATTAATTTCTAAGCCATTCTGTTCCATCCCCATGCCTTATGAAGTAGGAGTTTATTAATTTTCCAAGCCATTTTGTTCCATCCTTGTGCCTTATGAGGTAGGGCTTTATTAATTCCCAAGTCGTTTCATTTCAAGTGGCTCTAAGTCCTTTTCCCAAAAAAAAAAATTCCGAATGGTGCCAAAATTTTCCAAAATGTTCCAAATTTTTACAAAATATTCCAATTTGCCAATGCCATGTGTGGATTTTCAAAAATATCATCCTGAAACTTCTCAGCTGGAAAGAAGTTTAAAGATTATTTTTTCATGCTTACAAAGATGCCAGGCGAGTAGGGTACCAAATTGTGCAGTGCCATGCAATAGTAATTGATACCAATTTTTAAAATGTTTCCTGAAAAGGCGTGCTAATGCTTGAGCTTGATTTTAAGACGTACCTGTGTCGTGGGAGGTCACCTGCGAGTGAAATGGAGCAATACACGTATGGGGCACATGAGCCACACGTGTGTTTTCTTAGAAAGTACGGTTGTGCATTTGATTTACCCTCAAACGGTCCTTGGAAACCTGAAGGGTTTTGAGGATTTCCTCCCTGATTCATTTTTCTTTTAGGTTTTGTCCCTTTCAATTCCCTTGGTGTCATATACCTCGAGTCCTTGTCTTAGTCTTTTCCAGTCTCCATACATCGTAGGCATTTTTGTTTTTTTGATTCTAGGGAATCTTTATCTTATACTTACTGACTTTTCCAATGATTCTTTCATGTAGTGATCTCATGACAATGATGAGTCCTCTTCTGTTACTACTAGTCCTTGACACTTTACGAATGATCTGAGGATTCATCTTGCACTTTTCCAGGATTGTTTCTTTTGTTTTTCATCTTTTTAAGAATTATTGTGTGAGGTTGTTGGAGGATATTTCATAAATGACATAATTTATGCAATGAAGTTCAATTGTGCTTGTCTTATTGGATCTGACAATGGCTCTTTATACAAGAATTTAAAAGTGCATAAAAGAAATTACCAACTCAGAAAGGAATTTTTTTTACAAGTTTCCTAGCCATCTAAAACAGACGTTTAACCATGACGACAAAAGGCCCTGTTGACTCCGTCGTGTGTCCTGTCGTGGGGTCGACCCATTGAATTGCCACGCTCATGCTTGCATGCCTGTCAAACTATGTCATCATTTTAGCCGTCCTGGGCATCTAAAAATTGCTCTGCGTATCTGTTGGCTCGCATGATTCTTGTTGATGTCGAGTAGCAAGATAATTGGCCCTTTCTTGACTGATGTGGCTGAGCAACTTTTAAGGACAGGAGGAGCTCTGTTGGCTCAATGGGTTTAAACGCTGGTAAGACTATGAATTTTTTGCTGGAAGTTTGTTATAGCTTCATGTGCCATCCATCTTACTTGGTTTCTCACCTATCAGCTCTTATTCTTCTCTCTCTCTCTCTCTCTCTCTCTTTTGTGCACACCCCAGCTCATCTTTTTCCCCTCATCTCACACCTCTCTATTCTTTTTCTCTCTGTTTCCAGATATGGCTAATGGACAAATTGAAGGTGAGGGTCCTATCCATTATTTGACAATCTCATGCTAGACCCATTCCCAATTGGTGAAGATGAATTCTACTAAAAATTAGCATGCTTAGATGAGTGCCCGAGCTTGTAAGACATTGCCTAGTGTTGCCCCTGGTCATTACTTCCAGCTATGATTCGAGTGATGCCCCTTTTTTACTCTATTTCCCTCTGCACTTATTTGGCAAGTAGATCCTTACTTCATTTTACTCGAAGGAGACCATCGGACTTTGGCGAGGTAGACCACCTGAAACATGATTCCAATTGCAGACAGGCAACATTTGAGCAACACACAAAGAGAGCATGTAACACACAAAAAATAAATAAAAAAATAAAAACTTAACAGCTTGCATAGGAATTGAGAAGACAACCGTTCGAGCGCAACAAGTTGATCCCCATACTTAGTCAGGGAAGTGGCAAATAAGGAATGCTCAAGATATACAATATCAGTACAAATTCTTCTACACAGGCACAACTCGAATTAGATTCACATCTAAACTTTCATAACTCACAAATACAATAGAACAAATAAAAATACAACTAAATAAAATTTTGTCTAATGATATTACCAATTATAAAAACTTAACAGCTTGCATAGGAATTGAGAAGAAACATAAAAAATGTGAGGGTCCTATTGAAGTAAAGTCAAATAATTTTGGTCAAATATAGGGTGATGGGTGTGAAGTCAACTCTCAATTAGTCAAAAACAATAAGCTTCGAATTAATTATCATATTCTAAAGTTTAGAAAATAAAAATAAAAAACTATTTTTAATTGAAGGATGTAATAATTAAAATATATATATATATATATATATATATAATAAAAATACTCTATTATATTATTTAATAGTAAGTATAACAATCTTTTTCTTAAATTAAAATAATTATAAATTTATATTCATATTTTATAATTAATAATTAAAATATATATATACATATATATAATAGAGATACTCTATTATATTATTTAATAGTAAGTAATTTTCTCTTAAATTAAAATAATTATAAATTTATATTCATATTTTATAATTATTAGATATATAATGAAATAAATTTATAAACATAGTCATACCAAAAAAAAAATAATTAATAATAATTATAAACATAGAATAAAGAGGATCAAAAGTCAATTAAAAACTACTAGTTTATGATATATCTATTCTATATGGATATTTTTGCCATCACGTTCACATGGGATGCCAATAGATAGGCCAGGACCAACCAACCCACTGTGTATTGATGAGTTGAATAGGCTGATGGCTGAGAGGAAGAAATAAAGGACAATGGCCAAACCACCAAACATTGAAACATCTATATACAGAGAGAGAGTGAAATGAAACTTTAAAGATAGTAACCAAGGGAGCATGGTGATCTTCCTGATTCTCTTGTTGGTCCTGAAACTCTCAACAGGACAAGATGAGTGCACCCCAACAACATGCTCAGACCACGGTCCAACCATCTGATTCCCATTCCATCTAAACAACCGCCAGCCTCAACACTGTGGCTATCCAGGCTTCGATCTTTCTTGCTCCCAAACCAATGACACAATCCTTGACCTCCCATTTTCTGTCAAAGTTTTGATCAACTACATAAATTACACATCTCAATCCATTCACATCACAGACCCAAATGGTTGTTTTCCTAGCCAGCTTCGAAACCTCAACTTGTCTTCCTCTCCATTCCAATTCTCCAATTCCGTCAGTGATTTCAGCTTATTCAGTTGCCCTGCAAAAGGGCAACAATTGCAATACAAGACCTGCATTCCCGACGAACCGAGTCGTGAAGTTATTGCTATTTACAATGATTTTTGTATCTACAATCTTGGACTTATCTACTACTACCCCTTATTATCTTGCAGAAAGTTATATAATATTTCGTTTGTTCCTTCTGAGGTATTTGATCGAACATCTGATTTGCAATTGAAATGGTCGAAACAGATATGTGGCAACTGTGAAGCACAAGGCAAGTATTGTAGATTCACTACAGGAAATCATGGATTTAGCGACGTTTAATTAACGGCGTTTTTTTAAACGTCACCTTTTCTGATACTTAACGACGTTTTGTAAACGTTGCCTTTTGTGTTAATTAAAACGGTCCTGTTTCTGAATAGAGGTCGTTTGAAAGCGCCTCAAAATCCTTATTTCCAAACCCTCTCCCTGTCTCTCTTCACACCCCTATTTCCAAACCCTACACAAAGTCGATCTATTCTCACAACTCCAAGGTGACTCTCTCTCTCTCTCTCTCTCTCTCTCTCTCTCTCTCTAAACCCTAATTTCAGTCTTAGAGGATCGAATCAATACAAAGTTCTCTCTCTCGATTCCTCTTCAGCATGGTGATTCCTCTTAGTGATTCATCTCAGAGTGATTGAGATTTTGATTTTGAAGTTCTCTCTCTCTCTCTCTCTCTCTTTCTCTATTGTGAGCACCACCTTATACAATCTTAGAAAAATTGATCGAATCCTTCAAAACCTTCTTTAGCTCGGTGATTCCAGTTGTGGTGTTCGTCTTTTTGGATTTGGAGCTCTTCGTCGTCTTCGATCAGTGAGATCAGAGGTTAGTTGAGCTCAAATTTTAGGAACATTTGAAACTTGTTTCTTTCTTAGATGTTTCTTCTGTGCTTTGTTTGTGAATATTTATTTGTGAATCTCTCTTTGCTCATCTTCTTCCCATTGGTTTGTGAAGATTTAGTGGGTATATAATTAATGTTTCTTCAGTGCTCTGTTTGTGAATTGCTGTTTGTTATTTTGCTTAAATTGTGTGGATTTCGTACCGAAGTGTTGTTTCATGGATGCAATGATAGACTAGTTAGACTTGTTGTGATATTCATTAATAATGAAATTTGTAAATCTAAATATAGTTTTTTACTCATTGAAATTGGTTTAAGTTTCTTCATAATAGATTTAGGATTTGTTGAAGTGACAAAAAAGGAAATGGAGTGAAATTACATGTATTTGATCATTTTTTAGGAGTACCTAAAAAATATTGAATATGTTAAAGAACCATAATCTGAAGAAAAATATTTTCAAATATGAAATTTTATTACAAAAAAGAAAAAAAGAAGAAGAAGAAAGAACAGAAGAGCCTATGTCTTACTATTGAGCTGCTTCCAATTGGTGAGAATGAGAGAAATTAATGACCTACTTTGCTTTAGTCTCATTCTTCTTCTGCTAGTTAGTTCTTAGTCAAGAGAAAATAATAATAATAATAATGAAGATAGTATATATAGTCCAGCTGGCCAAGGAATAATAAGGGTTACCAATCTACTGGTTACCAGATGCCAAACAACTTAATTTAATTTGGGTTCTCGCCTACATATACAGAGAATGCTTATGTACAAAGAATTCATCATGGTTTAGTAGTTGTCTGCAACATATGTGCGTTGTCCAATTATCAGTTTTCATGGTGTGTTAAATATTGAAAATGCTCATTTTTGATGCTTTTAATTTTAGCGCATATACAACCAAAACATCAAAATTAATTTAGTTGATTGTCTTATTTGGATGCTCTAGGATCTTGATTAACTCAGTATGACTCTTTTTTGTTTTTGTTTTTGGACTTTGTTGTCTTATTTGGATACTCTACGAAGGATCTTAAAGCTTGTCCAATTTTATCATGGAAGTTGAGAAATTTCCCTATTTTCAGTTGTAGAGCAGCATATGAACTTCACTTGTCAGATTTTGATTTTTTATTTTTTGTGCATTTTTCTTTCCCAAATTGGGTTGTCATTGTGTTATTCATGTTTTTTTTTGTAGTTTTAGAAATCGTGCTTTGGGGGATAGGTACTTCTCAAATACAACTTTTTTAGGAATGTTTAAGTTGTCCTTAACAATTATGTGCATGAATAGTTTATATAATGGTAGTTCATTAATTTCACGTGTTAAAGGACTGCTTGTTTGGTTACTGGTTATGTAAGTTCCCAATCGTGGTAACGATTATTAGAGTCATTCGAGGAGCTTAGTAAGTTATATTCATTGGAAATGACTATTTTTAGAAGTCTAAATATTATATAGTTTGAATTTTGGTATGGTACATGAAATAGTTTATATAATGATCCTTGGCTTGCTCGCCATGATTTTCTTGTTAGTTTACTCATCAAAACTTTAATCTTTAGCGGTTGATTTAATCCTTTCTAGGCGACCTTTTTGTTGGAGAATATAAGGAAATTATGTAATGCAGTTTTATGGTTGCATGGATTTAGATTCTTAGATTCTTTCATAGAATATTGATCTCTTTGTTTGGGTTTTACTACTGCAACCAAGTCTCTATCTGCTTCAAGGTATATCTCTTTTCATTCTTCTTCACTCACAATAGTATATATATATTGTGAGTGAATGGGCCAATTGGTATTTGCTGACTCAATTTCATCAACCCTTAAATATTCCCTTAAATTTTCAGCTTTTGGTAATGCAATTACCCTCAAGAAGCTCATCAGGAAGGGGATTCCACCGGTTTTATGGACTAAGGTCTGGTTTTCCCAGCTGGTGATATATTTATCTGTCATACATTATTTTTCATATTTATTCCAGATGTAATTTCCTTCTTGATAAGTTTATTGTGTGTTTTCACACACTATTTCGTCTAAGTGGTCTCTAATTTACTGAATGTTATTATGATTTAGGCAGCTAATGGATGTTCCCTAAGATTCGGTTTGTTGGGTTGACTCCCCGTGACTATCTATCTGTCATACATTATTTTTCGTATTTATTCCAGATGTAATTTCCTTCTCGATAAGTTTATTGTGTGTTTTCACACACTATTTTGTCTAAGTGGTCTCTAATTTAATGTTGAAATTATCATTACATTCATAATCATTGAGTAGCATAACATAAACTAAACATTCATAGGTTTAATGAGGGTGGCAATAAGAAATTAGTACAAATAAAAAAAAATATATTAAAATGTGCCATTTGTTTATTTATTCAATCAATAAGGTAATGGGTCTAACACCACTGTTGCAACAATGGTGGCAAGAGCTCTACAAAACAACACTAATCAAACCCTTTGTCTTCCCTCTCCTCCTCTCCTCCCTCCTCCTGTTTCTGTTTAAATTCAAGAAAAGTGTTAGCAAATTCAAATTCCCTCCTTCACCACCTAGGCTACCGATTATCGGACACCTTCACTTACTAGGGAACCTCCCTCACCAGTCTCTCCATGCTCTCTCCGAAAAATATGGCCCTATGTTACTACTATACTTGGGTGGTGCTCCAGCTCTGGTTGTCAACTCTGTAAAGATAGCAAAAGAAATCATGAAGACTCATGACATTGCTTTTGCAAACAGAGTCCAAACAAGGGCTGTTGATGCATTAATATATGGATGCACTAGTCTAGGGTTTGCTCCGTACGGTGAGTATTGGAGACAAATGAGGAGAATCTGTGTTTTGGAGCTTTTGAGCATCAACAGGGTGCAATCATTCCATTTTGTTAGAGAAGAAGAAGTTGTGACGATTATTGAGAAGATACGCAACAACACGAGCCTTGATGGAGGAGCTAATGCTGTCAACCTTGGAGATATGTTGGTTGATACCATGACTAGCATAATATCCAGATGTATTCTTGGGAAGAAGTATGAAGGAGAGGATAATAAGAAGAGATTCAGACAGTTGGCGAGAAATGGAATGGAGCTCTTGATTGAGATTTCCTTCCAAGATTTCTTCCCATCTTTTGGATGGATTGATGGACTAACTGGTTTGGTTAAAAGACTCAAAGACACTTCACAAGGATTAGATGCTTTCCTTGATGATGTGACTGAAATATATCGAACTTCAAAAGGAAATGATGATCAGCCTGGTAATAAGTGTCTGATTGAAATTCTGCTTCATTTTCAGGAGGAAGGCAAGCTAGAGATTGATATCTCCCAAGACAATCTTAAAGGAATTTTACTGGTCTCTCTCTCTCTCTCTCTCTCTCTCTCTCGGTGTCCCTCTATGTGTGTGTGTATACCAGTCGTGAATTGGGTGACACGGTAGTGAAATTTTTTAAATCATCTATTAGTAGCAAAAAGAGTTTGATAGTCACTGAACTAGCAGTAGCTGCGGTTAATCTTCCTAAATCGGTGCTACGATTAATCTTCCTAAGTTGGTTATGAAATAATACATATAACAAATTGGGTTATAAGTACGATATTTTCATTCCTACTAATATGCCTATTTCTATCAGTATTAGAAAAGGCCAAAAAAATGTCGTAACAGGAATCATTTTAAATACTGATATATACCATATAAATCAATATGTATATGGTTCTAGCCATTTTGATACTGATACATCCCAATATATTGCTGGGAATGAAAAACAATCATGTTTATTGATCAATTCTCGATATATATATCAGTTCATAGCCAATTCCTCTTGTATATGGCGGCCGAAGAGGCTGCCCTGGTTTCTCATTTGGAGTCCTAATAGTTGAATATGTGCTTGCAAACCTCTTGTATTGGTTGACTGGAAGTACCCAAGTGGTCCAGGTAGAGAAAAGGACTTTGACATGAGTGAGGTTATTTCCTTGGTTGTTCAATCAATTAAAACTCAATTATATGGATCTATTAATATGAGATCTCTCTAGCAGATTGATCACACAGCAAGTCCTTCTATTGCCTTTATTAACAACCTTTTTTTTTTTGCCTTTTTTTTGCCTTTTTTCTCTTTTAGCGGTGTTACTCTCTAGTTGAACTTTGTATATAGTGCTAGTTTTAATCCTTGTTGTAATAGTGTTTTATTTTTATTGTAGGTGGTATAAAAAATTAGATTATGAATTTCATTTAGAAAGGTTAAAAGTTTTATATGGTCTTGGTTTTTGTATATGCAGGAAGGTTTGTCACCCTTGAACTTTTATATTGAGGATGAATTCCATTGTGCCACTGGTGGTGGAGCTGGAGGTGTCAAATCCATTACCAATTGTGCCCCGGTATAAACATTATTTTGCTATTTGACTGTAAAACAGTTGATTAATTTCTCTGACATCTGAAAATTTCCTTGAAATTTTTTTCCTCATAAGCTTGTCTTAACAAATAAACCGTCATACATTGTGTGATAGAACACAAGTAATGCTTATGTTGGAGCTAGCAATTTCATATTATCATAATGTTGAATGAACAAAAAAAAATGCCACAAGATTATGGCATTCTGTTTTTTTGGGAATTTCCCTGCACATTGACACACATTTTAAAAGGTTAATCTGAGGTAGTCTAGTTTGTAACTCCCATTAATCTGGCTGATTCTTGTTTGTGCAATTGATAATTTTGGATCAAATGAAACGTTTGTAGGGTAAGTAGGATAAGACAGTTAAGGGAATGTGAATTTTACAAATCTAGGTGTTAAAATGAGGGGAAAATAAAACATTGGTTCTTTTTACTTGCTTTTTTACATACTACCACTTTTTTAGAGTACATTATGTTAATTAATTTGTTTTTCCATTGAGGTTCTTAGACAGATGGAGGCACATGATTATTGATAGAGTGAGGTTGTGGCCTGTGAGGTTGATTTCTGCTATAAATATATTTTTTTCAGTTATATAGTTATTGGGTGTATTGAAGTGTAATGCTTTGTTGTATCATTGTGTTTATTTTCCATATAAATTTCTTTTGCTCTGTTTCATTCTCAATTGTTTGTTCTTTTGCTTTTCTTTTCCTCATTTGAAATTTAGATAATTGTTTACTGAAGCCTTCTTCTAATCATTGTATCACAGGAATGTTATTGGGGCTTTTGGATTTGAAAACAGTTTGTTACTCATCAAGTGGAGTTCTTACCAGCTGCAGAAAAAGTAGCTCATTTCAAATGAGTCTTTGATTTGTGTTATTTTTCCCTTTGATTCAAGCAGACCAACTTGATGCTAATTTTTCTTCTTCCACATTTTCTTATACAAGACAAATCTGGTTTTTTGTTTTGGTAATAATGAATGGTTTATATTTGAGTATTGGATGTTTCTTTTTTACGGTTGAAATAATTGGTTTGCATTATCGGCTATGGTGATGACTTTGGCCCTTTTTATTCTGTGTTTTGGGGCTTTCTTGATTTCATAAGCAATTTTTAGACTTTTTTTTTGTTCATCAAATCTTTGCAGGTGTTAATGATTATCATAAGCATACTTGATGGCCATCTTATGATTAATGTACACATATGGGCAATGTAAAAAATTTATATTTTGCCTTTTTCCATTGAGAATTGTGAATTTAATTTTTGGATATGTTATTTTGTGGGTAATGATGATTAGATATTAAATTAAATGGGAAAGTGAATTAATGTTGCATTTACTATTTGAATGAAAGTTATTATTTCATATTAAGGCTATTCATTTTTATTACAGGTATTTTTTTAGTTCAATCACATAAAATTAGCACAATTTTAAAAATAAAAAAAATAAAAAAATAAAAAGAAGAGAGGATGTCATGGCGTTTTTAAAATGCCACCTAAACTCTAAATAGCTAACGGTCAGTTTTTAAAAAAGATATGACGGCGTTTTCAAAACGTCGCTGAATCATAGTGACGTCATGGCAGGGACATTTCGCGGCGTTTTTCAAATACTAATATCACGACGTTTTTAAAACGTCATAAAGCTACAGCGACGGCCGCATCTTCGACGTTTGGTACAAAACGTCACGAAAGGAATTAGCGGCATTTTTTATAGATACAGCGGCATTTTTTAAACGCCACTAAAAGTCTTATTTCCAGCAGTGTTTTTATATTATCTTTTCTCTAAATTATTCCATTTAAAAAAATAATAATAATAATTTGTTGTCTTTTTAAGGGTTGTCGTCCCTTTATATCTATGAAATAATAGAGTCAAACTATAAAATTATAAAAAAAACAATATAACAAATATTTATCTTATTATATGTTTTTAATGCTGTGGAAAAAAGCCGAACACAACTTAAAATGTCTCATTTTACTATGGAAATTATTTTATAATTATTATCTTTTGTAATTTAACATATAAATAAGAAAATATGCTTATTTATACCTATATTTTTACTTTATTTTTAACTTTCTATGTCCATAAGAATTGACGTTTTAATTCATAATTTTTTAATTTTTTTATGAGTAATATATGATCGCCCCTTATATTAAAATTTTGAGTATGTGCTTATTTCAATACTTACCTAGGATTCACCAAAAGTTTAATTTTTCATAATAATGTATTTTATTCTAATTTTACTCTTGTTTAATATGAACAATAATTTTGTAAATAATTTTAATTTACTTTAAATTATATTTTTTAAGTGTATTATATGATATTATTTACATGATTTATCAAAATTTTATGTTGATCTTTTCATTGTTAATCGTAACAATTAAATAATCAACTCTTTATGCTATAAGTTACAAACTTACAATATTACTCTTATAGAAGAGAGGTAGAAAAGAGGAAAAGTTTTGGAACACAATCAGAGAAAGGAGAGCGAGAGTGAGAAAATTAATTTGCTTGGAAGAGATGTTACCTTGTAGTTAGGGAGAAACGGGCCGTCGTGGTGTAGATCTGGTCGGAAGTGGTGCAGATCTAGGCGACGGATTGTTCGACAGCCGTCGGTTACTGCTAATTTGCGATCGAGTCGAGCTCGGACTTCCCCACGGTTGTTGCGATGCTGCACGGCGAAGGCTGCGACGGAACTCCGGCAGTCAGTGGTGTGGATATCTCCGCAGACGGATTGTCCCCTTTTGTGGCTATCTCTGCAGAACGGACTGATAAAGAGAGACAAAGAGAGAGAGAGAGAGGGAGAAGGGGATATTCGGGTGAGAATATATTTTGTGTTGAGGAAGGGATAAAAAAACAGGGGTAAAATAGTATTTTTACCCTCCCTAGGTCAAACACAATTTTGGCCGCCCAAAACATGAAAATATGATAACTTTTTGGCTTTTTTTATGACTTTTTGACTTTTTGACTTTTTCTAAAGACCCCAAACTTGGCCTCAATACCCATTTTTGCTTCACTCTCTAGGATTGGTGGCCCATTATTTGTATATATATCCTTAGGTCATTTGAACAACCTATCAGGATCACACCCTTTTTCTTATTTGTTGCATAGCCATTGCGACGCTCTCTCTCTCTTCACAGAGAGACCAGCCCAGTCCTCTTCTTCTTCAAGAAGGCTCTGCTATATGCACACTAATCTTTATCACAGCTTTAAGCAAATGCCGCCGACCTCAGCCTACTCTCTCTGACTGCCGTAGACGTCGCGGCCCAGCCACTGCCTTGTCCCAGCTACGACGGCCGTGGACATCGCGACCCAACCTGCTGTTCACCGTCGGTGCTTCATTTTAGTGTAATGGCACAGCTTCTCGGAGACCCAGACACACCGGAGCTCAGCTCCGCCAACCAGCACCGACGCCGACTTCTCTACAACGTCATTGCTCTGCAAAGTCCCCAGCAACATCACTGCGAAGCCGACCCACTGTTGGCCGATCTTGACTGCTGCTCCAAAGCCAACTACACACATTACCTACTCAATGTGTCGTGTGTGGTCGCCAACTCCTCTGCGGCACCACTACTGCTTCCGGCCTCGCTCGTCCAACGCCGACTACACATGTTGCCCTACTCAACGCGATGTGTGTAGTCACCGTTCAGCTTTGTTATTCTCACAGCCCAGTGCTTCTTTTCGGAGTTCGAATCATATAGATCTCGGTTTTTGCATACTCACTGGTTTCGGCCGTGATTAATCAACGCGGACCACGTCGCCGACTCAACGCGGTGTCGGTTTGCCTATCTCTTTTCTCACCCACTGTCCCTGCTATCATTCTTGACCTACATCACTTTTGGCCTTCATTCTCTTCCTACTCCTTCGGATTTGTGAGCAAGTGTTCGCCGAAACCCCATTCTTGAACCTTTGATTTTTCTGATACATAAAAATATACATATATATATATATTGTTGCTCATGAACTTGGGCTTGCAAAGAATAAATTTGGGATTTGTGTTCTTGACTCTTGAATAGCTAGTGCTTGGTCATTAAGGGAAATAAAGCCCTCGTTGAATCTTGATTTGCATGAGAAATGTAGTCTTGAAATTCATGTTTTGAAACTTGACCTTGTGTTGATAAATCTGATATTAATAGAATATTTGATGCTTGCATTGAACTATTGATGTCGAGGGTAGAGATGTTAGAGGAATGATTGTTGTTTCTAGCTTCAAGAATAGTGGATGTCATGCTCGAAAACTCTTGACGTAGAATTTCCCGTAGAATTTGTTGATATGATGACATACCTTGTCAAAGAATAAAAAATGATATATTGTTGTTTGCTGACCTCATAGGTCATTGGAGAAATAAATAGTTGATGCCGACATTTTGTTTGAACATTGTTGCTTTTCGGCCTGAGAGGAATCGGTCTGGAGAGACAAAACCTTAATTGTTGCATTTTCGTGAACTTGCTTGGAGGCATAGAATTGTTGTAGCTTAAGTGATAATGCTTGAATCATGATCTAAAATTGATATTGCTCGTCTTGTTTGTCGGTTTCACTATTTTAGGCAAATGAATTCTTGATTGAAATCCAAGACCCGGGCCCGTTAGAACCCACACTAATGGGAGTAAGGGCTGTCTCTCGGAAGTCTGAATGGAAGCAAGGTTGTCCCTCAGGAGTCTGAAAGTAGCACACACCCTACTTCGGCAAGAAAGATCTCTCTGGAAGGCAACCGAGTCTACCAAACTTCCATCAACAGAAGTAAAGATTGTCTCTTAGAAGTCTGAGCAGAAGGAAGGCTGTCCCTCAGAAGTTCGAGCAGAAACAAGGCTCTCCCTCAGAAGTCTGAGCAGAAACAAGGCTGTCCCTCGGAAGTTCGAGTGGATGCACACTTCTACTTCGGCAGCTAATGGAAGCAAAGGCTATCCCTCGGGAGTTCGAGTAGGAGTCCACTCTACTTTGAAAAGAAAGATCCTTGGAGCTCGTATTGATGAAAGCAAGGGTTGTTCTTCGGATCCGCACTAGTGAGAGCAATGGCTGTCACTCGGAAGTCCAAACGGAAGCAAGGCTGTCCCTCAAGAGTTTGAATAGTAGCACACACCCTACTTTGGCAAGAAGATCCCTTCTGATAGGCCACATCGAGGGCTGCTCTTCGAAAGTCTGAGTGGGAGAACACACTCTACTTCAGCAAGAAAGATCTTTGACACTCTTTGAAAGTCTGAGTGGAAGAACACACTCTATTTCAGTAAGAAAGATCATTGAGGCTCACACTAATGGAAGCGAGGTCTGTTCTTCGAAAGTCTGAGTGGGAGCACACACTCTACTTCAATAAGAAAGATTCTCGAAGCTCGCACTGATAGAAACAAGATTTGCTCTTCGAAAGTCTGAGTGAGAGCACACACTATACTTCAACAAGAGAGATCCTCGAAGCTCGCACTGATGGAAACGAGGTTTATTCCTTGGAAGTCCAAATGGAATCAATGGCTGTCCCTCGGAAGTCCGGGTAGAAGCACACTCTTTTCTTTGGCAAAAAAAAAAAGATCCCTCGAAGCTCGTACTGATGGAAGTAAGGGCTATTGTTCGGAAGTTCGAGTAGGAGCACACACTCTACTTCAGCAAGAAAGACCCTCGAAGCTTGCATTGATGGAAGCAAGGGCTATTATTCGGAAGTCTGAGTGGGAACACACACTCTGCTTCAACAAGAAAGACCCTCGAAGCTTGCACTGATGGAAGTAAGGGCTGTTCTTCGAAAGTTCGAGTGGGAACACACATTCTGCTTCCGCAAGAAAGACCTTTGAAGCTTGCACTGATGGAAAACTCTACTTCAACAAGAAAGACCCTCGAAGCTTGCACTGATGGAAGTAAGGGCTCTTCTTTGGAAGTTCGAGTGGGAGCACACACTCTGCTTCAACAAGAAATACCCTCGAAGCTTGCACTGATGAAGGTAAGGGTTGTTCTTCGGAAGTTCGAGTGGGAACACATACTTTGCTTTAATAAGAAAGACCCTTGAAGCTTGCACTGACAGAAGTAAGGGCTATATTTCGGAAGTCCGAGTGAGAGCAAACACTCTACTTCAGCAAGAAAGACCCTCAAAGCTTGCATTGATGGAAGCAATGGTTGTTCTTCGGAGGTCCGAGTGGGTGCAACACTCTACTTTAGCAAGAAAGACCCTCAAAGCTTGCATTGAACGAAGCAATGGCTGTTTTTTGGAGGTCCGAGTGGGAGCACACACTATTTCGGCAACTAATGAAAGCAAAGGTTATCCCTCTCTAAGTGGGAGTACACTTCTACTGCGTCAAGAAAAGTCCCTTCAGGTTGGTAACCGAGTCTACTATTCCTCTTTCTTCTTTGAGGGGCACCAAAAATTGAAAGCTGTTTCAGGCAACATAACACAATGAAGATACACAATATAGAGAAAATAACTTCTAATGGAGATATACAATATGGAGGAAATAAATTTCTTCATAACATAAGAAAGATAAAACTTCTTGGATAATACAGTAAATATAAATTGTAAATGTCATGGATAGACTTCTTCTACAGAATGTTGACATTTTCCCTTAGAATTGCAAGGTCATTTGGAAAGTTTTCACCAGCTGCTCAGGCTGTGGCCGTCATACACCATCATAGCCACGTCTTCTAAGATATTCTGGGGCCCTTGTTCTTTAAACTCTAGCTCATCTGCTTCGACTTTCTTTCTAAAGATCTTCTTAAGTGTCCGACACTTTTCTATAGGATGTCCTAGTGATCGGTGGAAAACACAATAATTAGGACCCTCGCGGTCCTTCTTCGGCAAAAGCTCTTCGATACGAGGCAACTTCAGTTCCCCGCCTGCCACCCATTCTTTAACTAAGGCCTTCACCTCCTTAACGCTACACGGAAAAGGAGTGTCATCTTCACAGTTTTTCCTCTTCTGACCTCTGAATTCCTCCGCCTGCGACTTTCGTGTAGAAGACGCGGAAGCTGCAGTGACAGAAGGTCCTCGAGATGACTTGAAGCTGCTTTTATAACTAGTCTTGAACCCGATCTCCTGAGATTGAGGTACGTTGATGTTCCGAGATGCTTCAATTAGTGTCGAGAAGGTAGGCATCTTGTGATTAACAAGAAGCATCTTATACATGTTCAATGCCCCTTCAACACAGATTTGGTCCAAGTAGCTTTCCTCTACAGCCTCATGACAATCCACAGCTTTGTCTTGGAACCTCTTCACATATTCAAGAATGTCTTCACCCTCTCGTTACTTTTCCTTACATAGGGTGAGTGCGGTTACCTTCTCAGCCGCTGGAAAGAATTTGGCATGGAATTTGTTGACCATCTCTTCCCAACTTCGAATAGAGTTTGGGGTCAAGTTAACGTACCAACTATATGCTCGGTCGGTGAGGGACATGGAGAATTCTCTTAGTCGGAGGATAAGATTTGTACCATGAATCCCCAAAGTCTCAACGAACCGAACAACATGTTCTCGAGCATTTCCCTGCTTGCCATTGAATTTGATGAATTTTGGCACCGTGTACCCCTCCGGGTATGGATAACTCAACATCTCGATAGGGTATGGTGGCTTGACATGCGGATAAGGCAAAGAGGGTAAAGTCCTCTTGCTCCATTCGAGATCGAACATGGCTTGCACATCGGCGAGAGTGAGAAATTGTTGAGGGAGAGAACTTGATGGTGGTATTCTTGGAACCTAACTTGTAGACCCGAAGACTGAACTTGGAGCAACTTGGCCATTTGGGTGTTGAGAATTCACCATCGGTGAAGACACATGATGATATTGGCCATCGACACTTATGGGCACGCCATTTGGTGATGGGACGTTGCATTGGGTCCCATAAAGTCTATTGTACGCCACGGCTATATCAGGTTGGGCTTGCAAACTCGCCATCGGAGCCAAAGGAGACCAACTTAGTACATGAGTAAAATTTACAATCAGTGGAACAAAATTGGGCATGGATGGAGCACCACTTTGTAGAGAAATTTCTGTAGGCCTTCCTTGAACTTCCACCGTCGCTGGAACACCATCCATCGCACCAGAGACTCCTCCTACCACTGATGGACCATGGCTCGATCTTCCGGTTGCGTGATTTTGCGCTTCATAGGCTACAGGTTGGCGATAACTTGTTCCTCCTAGCACTTGATTTTGCACACCATTTTGAGTAACTTTAGGGAGAATTTGGGGTGGATTTTGAAGGTTTTGACCATTCCCAACATCACCATGAAGTTGTTGATGATTGCCGGCGCTGACTTAACCTCCATTTATTGCTAGTGGTGCGAAATGTGAACCCATCACCAACATGGTGTAGGTGAGATTTTGAAGGGTCATGAGAATCTCCAGTTGAGTGTGTTAGAGTCCTTGAATGGCTTCAAGGATGAGAGGTGAGTCTTGAACTTGAGTCCTTTTATCACCACCATTGGAAGAGCCTTGTTGATGAACTTCTTCTTCTCTTGCCATCTTCACCGGAGTTGTGTAGATTCCGGATCTTGTTGAGACTATTAACCAATCCGCCTCCCCAGCAGAGTCGCCAAATGTATAAGAGGGTTCAAGAACGTCGTTGGAAAATTTGAAAATCTTCGAAGATCCTTGAAGAAAAATTTGAATTCTCTAGAAGATGATGAGAGACTTAGATTCTTCAATAGTCTCAACTAAGAACACAAAAGCAAAGAGATGATAGAGATAAGAGATTGGGTGAAGAAGAAGGCAAAATAGCTAGAGAGAGAATAATGGCAAGGCTCACCCATGGATCTCCCACTTTCACTCTCAAGCTTGATAATGGAGAAGGGAAATTAGTTCTTTTCCAAGAGTTATCTCTCCAAAATCCATCCCATGTAAAGCAATGGGTGTGTGTTATTTATAGGCACCTCATGATGTAGGATGGAGCCCATGTGCAAGGCACATGGGGAATATTCTCTCTAACCACCTTGTCCGACGAGGTGACCTCTCCGAGGATAAGGAAAACCCCGAAGAGGAGATCAACCTCTTAGCGAACCCTTCTTCTTAGCCACAGCTAACCAATGATCCCCAATCATCCCAAAGGGTCAGGGGTAGTCCTAGAGGACGCCCTGCCGCAGAAGGGTCAGGGGTAGTTCAAGAGAACGCCCTGCCGCAAATATTGTCGAGTCTCAAGGACCCCCTAGATCGTGCCACATCGACCCGGGTATAGGCTAGTTTAACCGAAGAGTGAATTTATCTTCACTCACCGTCCTCAGGATCGGGTCCTTTGTTCGGACTCCATCACGCCCATGGTTCTGGTACGTAGATTCCGAAAAGCTTCAAGTCCGCAAGTGTTTTGGGACTCATTAATGGAGCGGCTTCTAGGTTGCGTCTGAATCCGTTCGAAGCCAAGTGCTTCGGATCTCTAGGTTCGGGGATCCGAACCCTTTCAAGTCTGAGCCCGAGTAAGTGTCCAGGTTCGTGGATCTGAACCCTTTCGAGGCTTAAAGCGATTTGGCCCGTTTGATGGCAATAAATCCAGGCCCACCAGTCTTGGACTTACGATAAATTCGGGCCCACCGACCTTGGACTATTGGGCCTAATTAATTTAATGGGCTCAAATTAGCTCCTCTTTCAATCTTATATATCTATCTTAGAGAGATAACTCTTGTAGCTTTCTTTGAAATAAAAAACAACTTCATTTCAACCTTGTAAGAGTGTAGTACACTCAATGTTCTTGACTCCTTGAGTGCAAGGGTTTGGACTTAGAAAGTCTGTGTAAAATCTGTGGAGGATTGCTCCATTTGTGAAGAGATTGCTAGCACTCATGTGAAGCTAGAGTATAGTGAAAAATCTCAAGTGAATCTTGAGAAGTGGATGTATACTCGTTGAAGTCAAACCACTATAAATTTGTTTGTCTCTCTCTCTTTCATCTCTTTATTTTGTTTAAATTGTCATAGCTATATCTCACAATTTCACTATGCTAAATCCATTAACTAATATAGCTATTAGAACACTTGTTTTAATCATCCTTTCATTAACTATATTTATCTGTTGTGCTAGTTATAATTTTTATTAGGGTATTATTATTTTTATTTGTAAAAACCTAATTCACTCCTCCTCTTAGGTTATCTTTTGGGTAACAATTGGTATCAGAGCCTAGACTCTTGCTTTAGATTTAACTATTTAGGAGTTTCGATCCATGGCAACCTTAGCTAGCATTAGCACTGCTGAAGGACAAGCCACCAATAGGCCCCCATTGTTTGATGGAAACAACTATAGTCATTGGAAAAATAAGTTAACTCTATACCTTCAAGCCACTAATTATGCCATGTGGATTATTGTTACCAATGGTCCAAAAATCCCTACCAAATTACTAGACAACATTAGTGTACCTAAAACTGAAGATGAATGTGATGAGAGGGGTCACAAATTATTGCAAGCCAATACTAAAACAAAACTCACCCTTGTTTGCGGATTAGACTCTAAGGAGTATAACAGGATTTCAAGTTGTGATTCGACAAAGGAAATTTGGGACAAACTTGAGTTAACGTATGAAGGTACAAACCAAGTGAAGGAATCTCGTATTGATATGCTTGTTCATAGTTATGAATTGTTTAAAATGAACTCTAATGTATCTATTTCAAGTATGTTTACTAGATTTACTAAAATTGTAAACTCTCTGAAATCTCTGGGCAAAATTTATACTAACAGTGAATTGGTGAGAAAAATTCTTAGGTGTTTACCAAAAAATTAGGAAGCAAGGTCACCGCCATTATAGAAGCCAAGAATCTCTCCACACTTGGATTGGATAAGCTTATGGATTCCCTTATAACTCATGAGATCACTATGAAAGGACATGAGGATGTTGAAAACAAAAAGAAAAGTGGTACTGCATTCAAAGCTTCATCCAATGAAGAAGAATAGAAAACTCCAGTGAGGATGAAAACTATGCCAAGTTTAGTAGAAATATCAAAAAGCACTTCAAGAAAAACAATTATGGAGGAAGAAGATCTTTCAATAGAGTACAACAAAGATAACAAGAAAGAAACTATTATTTGCTATGAGTGCAAAAATCCTGGACATATGAAGATGGATTGTCCAAAATTGAAAATCATGGAAAAGACTACAAAAGAAACAGGAAGGCCATGGTAGCTGCTTGGGGAGAAAGTGAAGATGAAAGCTCAAGTGATGAAGTAGCCAACTTGTGTCTCATGGCTCTTGAAGATGAAGACTCTACTCAAGATGAGGTAACTACTCTTTATGAAGAACTTGGGAGTGCATTCCATGAATTACAAGATGAATTTAGAAAAGTTTGTGCCAAAAATAATGTGTTGAAGAAATCTATTGCATCTTTATCTAGTAATGTAGAAGAATTAAAGAAAGAGAAAATTGTTTTGAAAAATGATTTTGACACCATCTCTAATGAGAAAACTGCTTAAAAAAACAATATTGATGATTTAACAAAAACACTTGAAAATTTTGTAAAAGGTAGAGATAATCTCAACATGCTTTTTGGAAATCAAAGATGTATTTTCGATATGGCGGGTATTGGATATGACCCTATTAAGAAACAAAAGAATCTTAATACAATTTTTAAAAAGGCACCTCTCATGACATGCCCTCATATTACTTGTCATTATTGTAAAAAGAAAGGCCATTATATATCTTCTTGTCCATTCAAAAAGAATATGAACATGGGAATTAAAAATTTGGATTGTTAAGGGATCTAACAAAACTAACCAAGAAGGACCTAAGAAATTACGGGTATCAAAAACCAACATTTGATTGTCATCTTGTAAGTTTGCTTTAAGTCCAAAGCTAAAGAAATGGAGTGGTACCTTGGTAGTGGATGTTCCAGACATATGACCGGAGATAAATCCTTGTTTACTACACTATCATCCAAAGATAGAGGATTTGTTACTTTTGGAGACAATAAGAAAGGAAAAATCATCGGTATCTCTCCTAACACTTCCATTGAAAATGTTTTACTTGTTGATGGACTTAAGTATAATCTACTTAGTATTAGTCAATTATGTGATAAGGGTAATCATGTTATTTGTGATAAATCACATTGCACGATTGAAAGCTCAAATGATCATAAAACTTTATTCGTTGGTAATCGCCATGATAATGTTTATGCTTTTCATCTCAATGATCTTTATGCCAGTGATGTTAAATGTTTATATGCTAATAGTGATCATAGTTGGTTATGACATAGAAGACTTGATTATGCTCATATGGATTTAATTGCTAAATTTTTTAGAAAGATTTGGTCATTGGACTTCCAAAAATTAAATTTGAAAAAGATCGACTTTGTAGTGCTTGTCAACAAGGAAAACAAACTAAAACATCGTTTAAATCAAAATGTCATATTTCCATAGCTAGACCTTTACAAGTATTGCGTATGGATTTATTTGGTCCCTCAAGGACATCTAGTCTAGGTGGTAAACACTATTGTCTTGTTGTTGTTGATGATTATTCAAGATTTACATGGGTTATGTTTTTGGCACACTAAGATGAAACTTTTTCTTCATTCACAAAACTCTGTCGTAGAATTCAAAATGAAAAAGGCTTTCTTATTACTAATATTCGAACCGACCATGGTAGAG